AGTGGTCTTAGTTGGATCTCTTCCAGTTGTCGTACCAACAGTTGAGGTTACTGATGTTGCTGAGAAAGAAACAGATGTGGCTTTAGTTTGAGGGGAAAGAGAAACAGTTGAGATTCCATGTGTGTTTGCAGTTGTGTCAGAGGAAACACTTGTGATGTCAGATGGGGAAGAAGTTGGCAATGCTGTTGACTGAGTTTGTGAAGGTGTTACTTTGGTGGGGACAACAGAGGAGATTGTGGAAGAAAATATTGATGATGTTTCGGCTATGGTTATACCAATGCTGTCCAGAGAAGCTGTTGTTGTTGTGGGGGATTGTGGAACATTTGTGGATGCTGTGGCAGCAGATGATGCAGATTCTGTTGTAGATTCACTTGTGATTTGCGATGTCTCTGTGGATAATGTTGCCGAGCTCATATGTGGTGTCTCTGACGTGCCTGTCATTTCTGATGTTGTTGTCACATGTTGAGTAGTAGATGGTCGCTGAGTGGCAGTAACCAATGGAGTAATCACAGGGGTTCCCTGGGTCTCAGTGGGATCTAGTCCATTTGTCGTACCAACAGGTGAGGTTACTGATGTTGCTGAGAAAGAAACGGATGTGGCTTGACTTTGAGGAGAAGGAGAAACAGTTGAGATTGCAAGTGTGGTTGCAGTTGTGTCAGAAGAATTACTTGTGATGTCAGACGGGGACGAAGTTGCCAATGCTGTTGAGTGAGTTTGTGAAGGTGTTACTTCTGAGAGGGCAGTAGATGATGCAGATTCTGTTGTCGGTTCACTTGTGATTTGCCATGTCTCTGTGGAAACTGTTGTCAAGCTCACACGTGATGTCTCTGACATGCCCATCATTTCTGATGTTGTTGTCAAATATTGAGTAGTAGACAGTTCCTGACTGGCAGTAGGTAATGGAGTAATCAGAGGGTTTTCCTGGGTGTCAGTAGAATCTAGTCCACTTGTCATAACAACAGTTGAGCTTGTTGATGTTGCTGAAAGAGAAACAGATGTAGCTTGAGTTTGAGAAGAAGCAGAAACAGTTAAGATTCTACTTGTGGTTGTTGGATTCTCAGAGGAAACACTTGTGTCCTCAGATGGAGATGAATTTCTTGACTGAGTTTGTGATTGTACTGAAGGAATAAGAGTGGAAGATCCTGAAGATGTAGTTGCTTTTCCTGTCTTTATTGTTGTTAATGATTGTGTAATAGATGTCATTACAGCTCTTCTTGATCTTTTTGATTTCCTTAGTCTTTCCCGATTTACAATGGCAGATAATGCATAGTTTTGATTTACACTGGAATTAAAATATTTTTTTCCTTCTTGTTCAATAGTTGTTGATATGACTTCAATTGTGGTCTTATTTACACGAGATGCAGGATTCATGCACAAATGTTTTAGGCAACGTTTATGTCTTCTTCTTCTCTTTGAGCCTAGAAATGTAATCCTGTTATTAGGTGTGTTTCTAATTCGAAGTCTTTCAAACATCCCTTCTCCATCTTTGTATGGTTTTGCCACATCTAACTGAAAGGCAGTTTTTGTAACTGCTTTTAGAAATGGCATAGTCCTTGAATGTCTGCCAGATAATTCTTTGGCTGTAATCACAGTTGATCTTGTCAGTTGTGTCATTGTTACTGTAAATGTAAAATACAAAATTATTTGACATGTGTGGATCTGTACAAACAGAATGTTAATTGTGCACATTCTTACTTTTTTCTCATTTTTCATATCTATCAACGCTCAGTATATTTGCATTTTAAATATAAATGATAACTTTTGTAAATATGATTCTTCACCAGAATCTTCCTGGCCATTTTTCCATAGGTTCAGCAACAGTAATAATAGTAATAAACATATAAAAATGTCCCAATAAGGAATAACGTAAGGCCTGCCTCTTTCCCAAGAAAAAACACAATTTACCCTGTTTTTGAAAAGGTTCTGGGCTTGAGAGTGTGTTCATTTCAACAGAAATGAAGGCTCTTTTTTTATTAAGTAGCAGATATATATGTTTGCTGTTTTCTGCCATTGTATTTTTACCACCATAATGTAGTACACTACAAGGCCGTATTCCGACCAGCTAGCAGGATGTTATTTTTAAAACCCAGGACGGGCTTTCAGCAAAGTCAAACAGACAAGTGGAGGGAAATGGATCCTGACCAGTCCAGTCAGGATAACAAATTCAGCAAGATACTATAGAATCAAGAGGGACTAGCAATCAAGAAAAATGGTAAATATACATGTACAGATGGAAAACTGAACACAAAAAATGTACATTTTATGTAGATAATGGGGGTGACATTTGCATACTGTGTACTTATTTGACCATCCGTCACTCAGTAATGTGGGGCCATGTCCATTAAACCTCATGAAAAGTAAATTTAAATATAAAATGCTTGTCATTAGGGTGGCATGGTGGTGCAGTGGTTAGCACTGCTTCCGCACAGCAAGAAGGTCCTGGGTTTGGTCACGTGTCCTTTCTGTGTGGAGTTCGCATGCTCTCCCCGTGTTCGCGTGGGTTTCTGCCGGGGGCTCTGGTTTTCTCCCACGCTCCTAAAGCGTGCAGGGCAAGTTGATTGGTGAGTCTGAATTGGCCCTGTGAGTGTGCCCTGCGGTGTGTTGCCGACTGCCCAGGGTTGGTTCCCGCCTGTGCCCATTGTTCCCGGGATAGACTCTGGTCCCCCCACGATCCCAGTTGGGATTAAGCAGTTACGATGATGGATGGCAGCTTGTCAAACATACAGTCAGTATTTTTTCAGTGAAAATCCTGTAGATAAAAGTATGGACTACCCTCATATCTTTACAGTGAATGGTAAAAAAATCTGCATTACTTTTTTAAATGAACTTTTTAACATTTATTTATTGAATATTTTGTTTTTGTATTCTTACTTCACGAGATGTGTGACCTCTTAAACAATAAACAAAAACATTAAAAAAATAAACAACTAATGCATCACTTAAACCCTAAATAACTTCATATTACCCGTGAAGAGAGTACACACCCTACTTACATGTAACCGAAGCGAGCAGGTAAATCCAAAAGCAATTCAGCGCCTGCATCCTTGTTGCTCGTTCACTAGCCAGTGCCTCATTTGCCCTCTCGGTTGATCTCAGTTTATGGCACTCTAAGCGAGCTTCCTCAATTGTACAGGAGAGTCAACACGCAGCAGTGGGGCTGGCCCTGCCTCTTTATTCCTGGTAATCTCAAAGAACCTTTGAAGGGCAACAGAGAGTGCATGTACGGCTCTATCCAAACTACTTGACTGATACACAGAGACACAGAGATAGATAGATAGACAGAAAGATAGATAGATAGATAGATAGATAGATAGATTGATAGATAGATAGATAGATAGATAGGTAGGTAGGTAGGTAGGTAGATAGATAGATAGATAGATAGATAGATAGATAGATAGATAGATAGATAGATAGATAGATCACTTTACTGGATGTTTTTTAGCATGAATATCCATAACAGAGTTCTATGGAGGAAAGTAAAGCAGCAGAACTGTAATGATTAAATTCAGTAGAGTATTATCTTCATTCGCTATTAATCGGTAATAAGCATATACAACAGTTGCTATGATATAAAGAGCCTAGTAACACAGCGTGACATCAACCTGATTATTAAGGAGGCTGTTCTCAGAGGAATTTCACGTTTGACTTAGCTGACGACATTTATAACTACAGATCTTAGTGACATCCCCAAACCGACTGACCCATTTCCATGAACAGCAGTGACATGCTGAAAGCACATAAAACAGTAAATGGCAAAATTATTTTTAATTCACATTGTGCCAAAAAAAGAGAAAAAAAACACACTTGTAAAAAATGATCAAACAACACCTGTATTTTTGGTATGTGAAGTAATTTATTGTGACCCTTATGTTGTGTATCATTACATTTATGTTTCTACAGTACATCCTATATACAAATTCTGAGTATCACTTGACCAAAAACCAGGAATGATGGTTCATTAGGATCTAGTTACATTGTGGACTGATTACTGTTACTGATATATGTTTACTGATATATGCAAAAATAAATATTCAAATTTTACTTAAAATATTAATTTAAAATGTTTTAATATTATAGATATTATACATAAATTCCATAATGCCAACCTGCCCTCCCATAAACGTAGGTAACAATAACAAGTTCTAAGAACGACTTACATGTACACTGATGTATTTAATATATTTATGTGTCAAAAATATGGTAGGTAAATTTCTCTTGCTTGGGCCTGAAACTGAAAGTGTAGCGTCCAATGCGATTCCTGTAGTAGAAGACGGATGACAGCAGCACGACGAGACACAGTAGAAACAGCCCGATCCCCAAGATGATGTAGCCCACGTCACGAAAACCAATCGGGTTTGTGCTGCCTGAAACGTTTTGGAAAAGTGCCATTAGACATCATCTACATTTATTTGGATTTAAAAAAATCAAAAGTAACATAAAAATGAGGAAAACACAGCACTGAAACTGCAGCAGCCGATGTTGGCAATGGGACGGTGCTCATGCTTCAGGACCTTAGTGCGGCTTTTGACATGGTTGATCATTCTACTCTGTTACTTCCTCTGTCTTCTCCAGCCTGTTCAAACTGGCTGGACCAGGATACTTACCAGCTGGAGCCTTAAAGATGGGCCCACATGATGCTCTGCCTGTTCCAGCCAGCTTATTATACCTTGCAGCGCGTTTCAGGCAATCCTAGTGAAACAGAAACATCTCCCTTTATGTACTGTAAAATGTATTTCATTCTAAAATTTATTTAATAGTAATTTTTTATTATACTTTTATTCTTCGCCCTACTTATGTCTTCTAGCCACTTATCCTGGTCAGGATGATTTTAAACTACATGCAAATCAATGTCAGCTCTGCTCACAGTTTTGCAGATGGTTGCTTCAGTCTCAATGCAGATCTGAATCTGACAGTGCAAATAGATGACACTCTCATCCACAGCAGAAAAAATACGGATGGCGAGTCGCGATGTGCTGGAATTCCCGTTTGCGAGGACCGTCGTGGACATATTTGAGACTGGACAACTGAGGAAAAAGAAATATGCACATCTTGATATACTGGGAAAAAGGCCAAATCAGTGACAAACCTTACATCAGTAATGTCCTTTTCAGACAATTTATGGCCAGATCAAAAACAGGTATTACCTGTTTTCCAGGAATGTGTATTTTTTGGAGTCAAAGGGATCACTGTTCGGGGTAGCCCAGCAATTATTAATGACGGTCTTGATTTGGGGCAGCGTAGAGTTTATTCCTATCTCAATGATTACTTCATCATTGGGGGACAGCGTGTAATTCTGAGAAAGTGGACTGCTGCCATTGAAGAGCTGAAATCTCACATAAAACATCCCAGAGCCCTCAACCACATCTTTGATCATATTGTACCTGTTTGAGAGAGAAAATAGAAAAACCAAACCACCCCACCAGAGACAGCTAAGGTCTGAGAAGGTCTGATAACAGTGATGTATTTTGGTTACATGGTTCACAATATAATGTAATGTTTCTCTTAACTTATATATTTACAGATTTCCTCGAAGGGTCGAGTATATTGAAAATTCAGGGAACATACACCTTACCCAATAGGGTTGTATCCAGTTGAAATAAGCATGCTGTTGCTGAAAATGCACATGACTGGCATGGCAAGGACCGTTTTCAGAGCCGGAGCAGTATTCAAATTATTGAATAACTTTATTTGTGCTATGTTGTGAGTGTTGTTCTGGAGGGGAAAAATAGTGTGTCTATTTAGCAGACACTTTTATCCAAAGTGATGCACAATTCTTCATGTGTACTGATAGAGGTATGAATCAAGTGCCACTGAATGGTTGAGAACAGTATATTTGTTCTGTTGAAATACATGGTGATGTTAAATCACATACTTACATTCAGGAACTGCATGTTGCACATGCCCAGCGTAGCGGTCAGTTCAACATGACTCGCATTCCCCCCCGAGACCCCACAGCTGGGCATTCCTAGGTACAGAGAAGACTCTGTGATATTCCGAGCCTGGAGAAACTCTTTCAGGATGGTGACGGATATTTCGTTGGCCCTGCACTTGACACCGATGGCCTCCGCAAGTGAAAGCCCCGATGTGTGATACTCCAGTGACGGTAAAGTGGTTTTGGAAGAATTTCCTGCGGGTTCGAAGCCATCATGGACAGCGGATACTGTGGCCGCTGGTGGTGATGGAGGCGTGGTCACAGCAATGGCTGCAGAGGGAAGAGGAACGTTTTTTTTTTTTTTTAAATAATTGATTAGAAAAAAATGTTTATGATGACCTTGAGCTCTTCAGTTTAACTTGGTGTCTGTGGTGTCCAAGTACAAAATATTCAATAAAAAAACAATGAGTAACACATAACCGTATAAATCATTGTTGTTTCTATGCCATAATCACATACATATGTTCTGGTGGATCTTCTCCCTGGTGTTTTCATGTCTTTACAGGGTTTACTGCACCCAGCATTGACAATAGTATTTTCAAATTATTACATATAAACTGTTTCAAATATTCATTAACTTGGAAAACAAATGGCACCACCCTTAAATATATACAAAGATGCATTTCAATTTACTTGCTGACGTACATAAGGTGTCATGTTCGCATAGGGCGGGCTGATTTACCATGTTGATAACACTGAATGAGTTGCATTGTACACTGTGTGATGCTACCATACGAATTTTACTGTCTACATTAATGTTAAAGGAATTTACGGCATCCCTAAACTGTTATTAAGCAAGACACCAGAACATTTTTCAGGCTCTTTGATGTTACATTTAATTTCCATCTGTCATAGTATTAGGCACTGCACAGAAGCCTTGGCAAATTAAAAGCTTAACAAGTGTAATTTACCAGTGGTGATACAATAAACTTTTACAAGCCATTTTTGGCAATTTAAAAATGTCACAGTTGTCTGACTCGGCACTATTGAAAATCAAAAATTTAAACGCATAGCTGAAGAGAAGCCAGCTGGATAAATGCTGTGTCCTCAGCTGCCTTAATCTCTTAGTTGGAGTGGCACAAACATGCAAATTAAATGCCCTGGGATGATTATTTTATGGGGCCACTTGTTGTCTATTGATAGATTTTAATTTACTACTTTTTGGTGAAAGACCCTCAATTACCAAACCTTTTCAAGAAAAAAAATAGTATGTCGAAATTGAACTGAGAAGATAAATGCCTGCAATCAGTTTTTTCTTTATAGAAGACTGATTAAAATTGTTTAAAAATTATGCTGAATGGAATCCCAGAGGGTGAGGCAGGGAGCGGAGTGAATTACCAGTGTAAAGTGTGAAATGGCATCACTATCTGACAATCAAAGGGGAATGACTCAAACAAATATAGGCAGCACATGGAAATGCTATGGCCAGCAGCTTCTAACTGTGCTGACACACTGGATGTGGAGGGTTACTGGGACAATGTAGCCATCCATGCTGTGAGTCAGTTGTTTTAGTAATTATAGGCCCTGGCCACACTGTCAATTTACCACTCCTTGTGATAACACAGGAGAATGTTCCAGAGTGTAAAGTCCTGCAGGATAAACCTGTATGTGGCTTAATATGGACCAAAGTAAGCTGCTGAAGGCTGCAGTAGGATTTGCATTTCCACAAAAAGCCGACAGATCAGCCTACCTGCACAGGTACGGCCTGGCCAATCAGGATTAGTGTCCCTGTACTCCTTATTGCATACACAGGTGTAGGAGCCAAATGTATTCCCACAGGTCGCAAACGGTGAGCAGTCATCTGCCTTCTGGGAACATTCATCAAAATCTAAGGACAAAAGGGGTCATACTCTTTCACCATTCATTATGTAATATTATTTTTGAAAGTATTAGAAGCTGATCTGTTATTTACATTCAATAAGCTAATGCTTTCATCCAAAGCAACATGCAACTGAGCAAGCAGGGTCAAACAGTCATTGGAGCAATAGATGGTTATGGGCCTTGCTCAAAGACACAACAGTGAAATCTTTCAGCTGATGTTGGGATTTGAACCCTTGACCTTCTGATCAAAGGCACGCTGTCATTACCCAGAGAGCCACAGACCGCCCCGTTATTAGGAATCATTATCCACATAGTATTGTCAGCATTTTCAAGCCAGGTTTTTAAATGAATAATTTAGGCTTTAACAACAGACAACCATCAGCTACCACTTGTACCTGTGATATCAAACTCCACATTGTATGGGCCATTGCTCTGCAGGGATGTCAGAATAGAATAGGACACGTTGGTGATGTTCAGAGAGTTATCCGGAGAGAACACGATCCCGAAGTTCACAATCACGCTGCCCTGGGCTAGGCCCCAGATGTGGATCCTGATGACACTTGAATTCACCAGGGCTTGGATGTCCGGGGACAGAGATGACAGAATCTGATGGATAATAGCTCAGTTTCAGCATTAGAGACAGGACCCTTAAACTAGTTACTAGTAATTCTGTAAAGATGCACCGATTCACTTAATGTAACACATTTATATAATGTTTCCAAATTGTTGATGAATTTGGTTTTTCATTTTTCTATAGTCATTTTTAACAGAGATCAGCCTGTATCTTCACCAGTTTTCAAAAAGTACCTTTTTTAAAAAAATGGTGCCACTTTACAATAAGGCTACCCATATAGAGTTTATGAATGGTTTATAATCTGGTTATTAATTAGGTTGTAAATTATTAATCGACAATTTTAAACAAATTACAACACTGTTTTCTTTTTATTAATAAGTTACTACCATTTACAAGTGGCAAAAGGGAGCCTTATTGTAAATATCATGGCACCTCAATTTTTAAAGTTTTTTTTTTTTTACTTACAATCCCAGTCAAAGCCAATAGCTGATCTTTTACCAAGAGCTGTTGCTCCATAAACCACCATTTCGGAAGAATCTTTGATCTCATGTTATTGCCCAACAATACTGTACCTCTCTCTTAAAGGAGTGGCAAAAATTGATGTAGTCCTGGCTGCTCAGATTCAGGAAGGTCTCCTTGAACACCAGATTGCTCAAGCGGGCCATGGCTGACACGGTTTGCGCAGCTGCAGATGTGAAATGCATCCCAGAGTAGACACTTTACTTCCTGCATGGTCCAACATTTAAATTTAGGGGATTTTACTGAAATATTTGATATGCCGAACTTGTGAGTTATCATATAATCTATAATAAACACTTTCACACATCATGCTCAGTCTGTACGCGATTTCCAATGAGCAACTGTTTCCCTTGCACTTTGCCTTCGTCTGTACTTGATATTTTATGCAAATTGATTTTTTTTTACATATTCACACTGTATCTGCTGTAAATGTGTTATTTCTGTTGTGTTCTTTAGTTTTGTGTATATTGCACAGTGAAGTGTTTCTGCAATATTGCATCTTGTAATATCTTTGTGTATTTCAGGCCTCTAACAACTGATTCCAGTGTGTTTGTACATGCTGGCAATGACATCCTCGAAATTCTGAGTTATGACACTTGCCTGTCCTGACATGCTGTCTCACCGGGACACCCTCGGCACCGCAGGCCAAAGGAGTGATCGAGACACTGTACAGTACCCCAGGCTCCAGGCCAGTCACTCCCCAAGCGGGGTAACCAGTCTGCGTCGCCCTCACCAGAACCGACATCTCCAGCACCTCCACTCGGAAAGTGTGACCGGCCGTGGAGTTCACAGCCCAGGTCACATAGAAGGAAGAGCCAGTGACATTGACCAGCATCACGTTGGTGATGGCCGCTGGACCTGCAAACACACAGCGGCAGTAAAAGCTAAAGCAAACACCATGCACAGACCTAACCTTCTTATGTCTATATGACATGTTTACACAAACAATGTACTTCCTTTGGGGTTCCCATGAATCCCAAGGACAAACTGTACTACTAAACTAGTACAGAAAATGCAAATTTCAAGATCATTACACCGCAGAGTGACATGTTAAGTATTTCATTATCACACAGATATGTGTTCTCTATTTCGGTATATTTCTCATAACGTAAAATAACTGAAAGCACCCAGAATCGCATACAGCCTGTAGCTGGTGCTGCATGCTGGGGCATGGCTCCAGGGGGGGGGTTGCTGAAGGAGAAGGTGTCTGAGCTGGAATTGGGGGTGGAGTTGGAGGACTGAAAATTGGTGGGGATGCCCTGAAGCATCACGGTGCTGGTTTTCATGGCCATTGCAGTGCTCGGAGAACTTGGCGAATGTATTGCCCAGAGCTCTGGAGGGCCCGTGGCTGTCGTCCAAGGGTCAGACGCATTGGGTAGCAGCATATGGTTGCTGGTTAGGTTATCCCACGTGCGTTGTGTCGAGGCCACGATGACTACAGTATTGTTTAATCTTGCCAGTTTACTGCGTGTTCCGTTTGTGGGGCGCTGGGAAGCTGAAAAAAACATTTTCAATATTTAAACACATAGGTATGCTAATAAATAAGAATCTGAATTTTCATTTTCTTCATTTTATATCTGACATACCCCGACAGTGTACACCTGCATTACTGACGTTCATATCGATAAACCCCGGCTGACAGGTGCAGCGGTAAGTGCCCTCGGTGTTAATGCAGCGCGCGTTCGGCGAGCAGCAACGGAGCGCCGCCTCGGCGCATTCATCCGCATCTGTGGGGAATACCAGCGTAACGTATGCAAGGACTTTATTTTCCTTATTTTGAAAAAAAAAAAAGCTCAGATGTTGCACATGAATGTCTGATAAACTGGAAGGAGCCTGTAATGATTGGCGGGGAAGCAGAGAGAATGGGACGAAAGCAGATCTTTCCTGCTGTTCTGACGTTTAGGTTTGTGTTGCTGTTCTGCCCTAATTTAATGTGTGGCACAGTTAATTTGATAGCATTAATCTGTATAATAATGTCCATTCAAAACCGTGAGTAGGGTAGCAAAAACTTACAGATGCCCTTTTCAATTAAACTTTACTGTCGTTATCCAGAGGCTGGTATTGCTTTGCGGTAAATATAAGTGCATTAAACGTGAAATCTGAAAGCAAAATGCAACATAATAATTGCAGGAAGTAATTGGTACATTTATTATTAGGCCAGATGTGTTGCTGATTAGCTGTATGTCTGCTGAGCACCTGCCGCAGATTATATACCTTGTACCTCCACTGCGGAGACTTCCTCAATCTGGCTGGGGAGAGGCTGCAGTCGTGTGGCACTCTCGGACAGGGAGAGGGCCAGGGAGGAGCACACCAACAGCGTGGAGGCTGCGCTGGAGTAGTCTGCCAAGCGGGAGCGAACGTGGTGCACGGAGACACCGGGGAGGCCCAGAGCCCCTGTTATCTGCCCAGACACAGACTGTCAGTTTCCTTGGAGCATTCGCTTTTCTTAAGGATCAGCCATACGAGCAAACAGTGAAGCACTGTACGTACCACAGAGTGCAACAGTCTAGTGTGGTTCAGGATTCCTTTGTCCAAAGAATGCATGTCATAGAAATTCATCCTCACAACAACGGTGACATTAAGGCACCATCTTCGTTCTAGAAATACAGTTCACACCCACATTAAACTGATTAATTTACATTACGTGAATAAATCTATGAGAACAGTTGTGTTCCTATAATCTCACCCAAGTCAGAACAAATTGCATACAATTCAGCTAAATTCAGACAGCAATGCTCCTAGGGTCTATGATATTAACCAATGAGTGGCATTATTTACACCTAAATTACATAGTAATTTAAATAGATTTCAGTTTTCATTTACATGAGTGTGTTTTTCTATGGAAAAGTGGCTATATTTATCAGCTACGTCATGCTGGATGCATTGCAGTGAACAGCTTGCCCTCTAAGGTGGAAATACTCACCACTAGCCACAGGGCTGGCACAGTAAAAGTAGCCGTTAGCCTCACAGCATTTCTGCCATCCTGGGCAATCCGTGTCCCATTTACACCGAGGACCCGAAATTCCCGTCTGCGTCGCAGGGCAGTGCCCAGGTTTGGCAGTGAACTCCGCAGTCCGACTGAAAGCTGACATTGTAGCAGAAACACATTTTCAACATCACTTTGAGGGGGAAAAAAATGGAGAACAAGGTATGGTTTGGGGTGGCATGGTGGATCAGTGGGTACCACTGTTGTCTTAGACCTTCAGGACTAGGGGTTTGAATTCTGCATCTACTCTGTATGTATAGGGTTTGTGGGTTTTCTCCAGGTACTGTAGGTAGCCCATGCAGTTAGGCTAACAAACATCTCTGTATCTGCATGTATGGTTGAACAATGGATGAAATGTATTGTTGAGAAATGTTCTTCTTGTACTTGTTTGACGACGCCATCTAGTGTCCATATAGGTTAATAATATTGAGTTAGCATGACTGAAGGTTCTTCCCTTTAAGATGCAGAAAAAAAACAGTGAGATGGTGAAAAATCAGAAGCAATTCCACAAAAATAATAAACAATGTATAGGTTTGTAATAGCACTGCATCAGTTTCAACGGCGGACGCTGGGATACTCACGCAGGACGCAGTAGTTGCTAACCTGTTCATACCCATCACAGCACTTGAAAGTACTTTTTGTCGATGTGAAGTCCATAGTGCGATAACCCATTTTATAGTGTGTTCTCTGACACATCTTCCAGGGCAACCAACCTCCACATGACATGGGGACCGAATAGGATATCTGATAGGGTATCACCTTGCTGGTGGTTTCAGTCTGATTTTCAGAACATAAGTGGTAACCAGATGGAGATAACTCATATCCTAAAATAAATAAATAAATAAACCATAAAATCAGAATCAGGTTTATTGGCCAAGTGTGTATGTGGCACACACAAGGAATTTGTTTCAGGCAGTTGGTGTCTCTCCAACTATACAATAGAACAAAACGTTACAGATTATATACAACATAAAAGGCATCTTATTTATAGACAATGTACATAAAGAGTAAGCAACATAGAAGGTACAAAGTGTATGGGATGCCTTAGATTCAGTTCAATGGTGTAGTTGTATTTCATCCTTTTAAAATGTGTTATTAATTTAACAGTTAATTCATATTATTTAATATCTCATTTAATCCAAAATAATTTAAAGAGGGAGATAGGAAAGTCAGGGTCAAGCTGATAGCATATCACCATACATAATACTGATAATTAATATGAAATCTGTTTTTGATGTGCCTGATCATAAATGCAGGGAAAAGTAGTCCTTTGCAAGCTGTCCCACCTACCTTGAAAAAAGCTGTTATGTTCTAAACTAAGTCCAAGAAAGGAAGCAGCAAACCAGGTTTTAAGGATCCAGCTCATTCTGGATGATTAAAAATGTTGTATGACACCATATATGCCTTATCCTTAAGATGAAGGGATCGATTCACGTTGTCTTTGTGTTGCCGGTCGCCTGTTCCACTGCATGTGCCTTCAGAACATTTTCCCTATCAAACTCCCTGGAGCTTACTGTGTTGGGAGCATTGTGTCACACTGCCACACCTGTCGTTTAGCTACACAGAAAAGTGCCCCCGTTTTCTAGAGAGATCCTAACGAATTATTAGCCCTTAGCAACAGCTTATGCGGCCTACACTAGAGCAAGCAAAATATAGAATTAATTATATGAATATATTAACCAACTTTTACTCACTATAGTACATTCCTAAGGAGGGATAAAAAGTATAAAGAAATTATTTAAACAAAGTATAAAAGAATCTTTGATTATATAGTACTTGTATATAGTACAATGTTTGTATAATGTTTTTGAATAGGCTATTTGTTCATGTCTGCGCTTACCATATCAAGATTTCTTTACAAGTGCCTGGTGTTGTAAGTAGGTAATGTGAATAACAGCAATTGCCTACATGTACAATGCTACAGGGAGCAAAATGTTATCTTGGAAACCTGGATTAATAGTCCCAGGTGGTTAGGTTTTCACCTAGGTTACCACAGAAGTGTTTGTTCATGGCTCTCGTTCCCTACGTCAGGTAATCAAAAACAATATTGGTTCACACTTTAACCTTTTTTTGTTTTGTTTTGTTTGTTCCACAATATATGCATGTTTATTTTACTCATCAGTACATGTATTATGTTCATATTGTCAGTCTTTCCTTACTCTATTACACTGTGAACTACAAAAGCATAGGAAGGTTTCTGAGGAGCATTCTGGGTGTTCTTATTTTTTGAGTTAATTTGATTATATGTCATCAACATCTTGGACTAGTAGCTTAGCTGCTAATAAGTGTCATAGTACACTGTAAAACAAAACAATAATTAGAAGAACTTTGGAAAATATCCCAAGGATCTAGTGATCTTAATGAAATGCAGATTTTCACAAGTGTTTGTATGTTTCAGCAAAGCATTTCTCTACAGTTCTGCACTGTTCTAAAGCAAATTAATTATTTAAGAAATTAAAGGTACATTCCGTGTGAAAACTACAGGTTTTCCTAATATGGCAATGTAGTATTTGCAACATTTGATCCAAAAGCATATATGACTAAATGTAAACATAATTCTCTAATAAGCAGCTTGTCATTTGGAATTTGAAGACAACATTATTATAGTTCATTAGTTACACTTTATTTGCATCTGGCAATTAGTTTGATTCAGTGACTCTTGTTGTGATGTAATTAACCATTATCTTAATTAAAAGAATCATAATCAACATGTATGCGCATGTCTCTTGCTATCTCCCGACTTTCCTACTGCTGTATGCCTTGGGAGCAATGACGTGGTAGAGAGCTAGTGACTGGATTATAATATAAGGACGGCTGCTAATGATGCCTGAATGAGTGTTATACACGTCCGAATCCTACGTATTCCAGAAGTTCCCGAATTTGTTATATTGTTAGTGTTCTAACTTGTAAACTTTTTATTTACATTGTATAATGAACAGCAAGAGAATGCATAATGTGCTCAAATGAGTGCTTGTGACATTTCTTTGCTACTTGATGTAATTTAATTACATGTAATAGCTGTATTTTTAAATTAGATGTATCGTATCTCACATATACATTCTACACGTATGCGCTACTATAATAAGCATTTCTGGTAAGGCAAGTTCCTTCGTAATGATATTTGCCGCAAAATGGAACAGGAACGCCCAATGACCGCATCTTTCCGTTCAAGATGTACGCCAACTTATTTATATGCTGAGACTAAACAACATCCTGTCCCTTTAAGGGTTTTACTGTACACACACAAACTGCCCTCGTTTTAAATCTCTGTCACTCTCGTGGTCATTTCCGGCACGCACGCCTACGCAGAGGAAGCAGCCTATCAGCGCGCGGCGCACGTTACGAGCGTTCTAGACGATGAGCTCATCCCCGATTTGGGATGACGTCAAATACAAAATGGATGGAATCACGACGGCCACACGCTCGGCGCAATTCTAACATCGGCGCCCGTTCTAGGCTGTCCCGGGCGCCGAAGAGAAGCCGAAAAGGTGAGCTGAAATACTACGCGACTCCGGCCGCAGCTGCAGATGCCGCTCGCGTTGTCCCGTTAGCCGCCGTCCTGGGAAAAGCGGCCTTTCCTGACGTAACTCTGAGGTGATTCCTTTCTCCTTCTCCTCTCACTAGCGACCCGTCGCTACATGTTTCGGATGCTGAGTCTGCGCGCTGAGAAACGCCAGGCGCGGTCTTCTGCGCACGCGCACTACGCATTCTAGTCAGGGATTGTCTACTCTTATTTGGGTTTTAGGCTCGGCTCTGCACTACTTGAGCAGTTGCACTGCTCCTCCAAAGTAGTGTATACCACCCTAAATGATGGGCTTGATGTGTTAACGTCTGTTCACTCTAACTAAAACCGATTGCATCTAAATAAAAACGTAAAAAGACGATCTGTATTATTTGCCTACTGTATTGGGTAACCTAGTCTATGCGGTTGGTTATATGTGGTTGTGTTGTGAAGCGACCTATTGCATGCGGATATATGAGGCGTTCAGATTAGCCTTTAGTTTATATTCGTATCGCAAGCACTAACGACGATTTACAGTGATAGTAATATAAATAGAGAGGGAAAATCACGAAATGATTCATTTCTGGTATTTAGGGGAAAATGATTCTGATTTTCCAAAATTAGATTAATTAATTTTGTTCCCCTCGTTTTGTGTTGAACAATATGTTCCGTACTGCTTATCAAAGTGTTTGTGTTATCGAATGATTTTGCGCTGAATGTCGAAACTGTAGTAAGCATAACATTTATCTGGGGTGCAGTTATCATTATGCATAGTCTTAATATTTTTTCCCCCCCTGAAATACTAATTATGTAAATCAACCCCATTGAATGTGTTGACACTCTCCTGCACACATATTTATTTGCTCATGCCTAAAGTAATTTAAAAGTAGGCATTTATAATTTATTTTTATGAAGTACTATCACATTTAAGTAAAATTATTGTTTTAAGTAAGTGTTGTATATAGTATACTGAAGCTGAAATGTTGTTTCTATCCTGGCAGCAACGATGGAGAGCTTGGTCCATTACATTAATCCTGCCCATGCCATCTCCCTGCTCGGGGTCCTCAATGAGCAGCGTCTCAAGGGTCAGCTGTGTGATGTCATCTTGATTGTAGGAGACCAGAAATATGAGGCGCACAAAAGTGTTCTCGCTGCGAGCAGTGAGTACTTCCAGTCCCTCTTCTCCAGGAATAACTCGGAGGCCCAAACCACGGTCCAGTTAGACTTTTGCGAGCCCGAGGCTTTTGAGAATGTCCTGAATTATATATATTCTTCATCTCTGTTTGTGGACAAAGGCAGTCTGGTAGCCATTCAGGAGCTTGGATACAGTTTAGGAATCCCTTTCCTGACTAACATCATGTCAACTAGGCCTCAGGTTTCCTACAGCATCTCCAGAAAGAGGACGTCCTTTTCTGAGGAGGATGATAATCGTTACCAGAAGAGGAGCGTCATTGTTTGCCAGAGTAGCAGCAATCAGCCCACCTCTAGTTCCTCCCATTTCAAAGGTCTAAATCGTAACGGAAAACCAACGTCAGTTCAGGCACCCCTCTTGACACATGAACATAGTTTGTCTGCAAGAGGCCTGTGTAAGTCTTCAGAATATGACCGCCCACGAGATGCATTGAGGAAAACAGCATCCAGCCATAGAAGCTCTATCGAAACCACAGGGAGCCCAGACAATAGATCCAGTGCACCAGACACCCTCGTCAGAGGGAGGGCTGTGGACTTAGTGTCCACTCGACCACAGTTAACCTCTTCGGTTTCCCTCAGTGAGTCTCAAATCCAGCACAGCAGCTTACAGGCAGGCACTGTAATTGCTAAAGAGGAACTGGTAACTCCACTTTATAACCCCAAACAGCCATTTACTGGCCAAACAAGTGAATCGAGCCAGACCGTTGACCGAAGTGGACCACTCATAAAAAGCCTTCTACGCAGATCCCTGTCAATGGACAGCCCTGTTCCAGTGTTCTCCCCAGCATTGGAGCTCAGTAAGGAGCAAAGTCGAGTACAGTCTGTAGTCAAAATGGCCTCACAAAAAACAACCGACACGGACCCCACAGAGCAAAGGCATCAAAATTCAACTGCGACTGCGCCACTCAGTTCTACATCCAGGAACTATTATAAGTATGACGAGGAAGATGTTCATAAAACTGAGGTCCATGTGAAAACAGAACCTAGTAGCCCGCTAGCAGATCCATCTGATATCATCCGGATTACAGTCGGTGATAGTTTACCAGTTAACTTCAAAGATTTCCAGGTTAACTTTGATGAAGGGCCCAAAGGATTTTTTAAACATTCTGGGAAAAGAAAAGCTAGACTTGACAATAGAAGGAATCAATTAAAAAAGTCCAGGGGTGGTAGTGAATCTGACTTTGCAACTAGTGATAACGCACAGACTACTTCACCTCATAATTCTGACTTGAATGATGAGAGTGAATTGGGACAATCAAGGCAGAACAAAATGTTTAAGTGCTGGAATTGTTTAAAGGTGTTTCGGTCAAATGCCGGACTCTATCGTCATGTGAACATGTATCATAACCCGGAGAAGCCCTATTCCTGTGGCATTTGTCATAAGCGATTCCACACAAACTTCAAAGTATGGACCCATTGCCAGACGCAGCATGGCATCATGCAGAACCCAGCTCCATCCTCCAGCTCATACACAGTATTGGATGAGAAGTTTCAAAGGAAACTGATTGACATTGTTCGAGAGAGGGAAATTAAAAAAGCCCTAATCATGAAACTCAGGAGAAACAAGCAGGGAACGCTACAGTCTCAGCCATTTAACAAGAGGGGTCTGAGAACGTGGTCCAAGAGCTACATGTGCCCTTATTGCGGAAAATTTTTCTTGTTTCAGTCTCAGTTCAAGCAGCATCTCAAGATGCATCCTTGTGAGAAAATGGATTCTCAGACAGAGAGGGAAGACTCTCTAACCCAAAAGGAGGACCAGGTAGCACATTTGAAAGAGAATAAAAACAAAGACATGTACCCTTGCAGGCTTTGCAATGAGAAGTTGTCATCGTTATTCGAGCAGGGAGATCATGAGAGGGGGTGCCGTCATGCAACCGTCTGCCCATACTGTGGCCTTCGGTTCTCAAGCCCAGTAGTGAAGATGGAACATGAGACCCATTGTGAGTACAAGAAGCTAACATGTCTGGAATGTATGCGCACGTTCAAATCCTCCTTCAGTATATGGCGGCACCAAGTCGAGGTTCACAATCAGAATATAATGAATGTAAAGGAACAGCTGACCCTCGGCGTTCAGGATGGTGGCGGCAAAGTCTCGGATCTCGTCGGTGCCGCGGCCTCTAAAGAAGATGTCACCTTCAGCGACTCATCGGGGCAGGCCATGTTTGATTCAGAAGAGTCATCCTTCATGCCAGAAGATCTAAGTGCTTCCCAAGAACCAGGAGAGCTGAGGGTGAAGGAAGAGCCTGAAGAGGAGGCAGTGGACGAGCAGGCGAGACGGGTATCTGTCGAGATGCCTGCGGAGGAATCTGGTGTGTGGCCGTGTGAGAAGTGCGGCAAACTCTTCAGTGCCCACAAGCAGCTGGAGCGCCATCAGGAGCTGCTATGCCACATCAAGCCCTTCATCTGCCACATCTGTAATAAAGCCTTCAGGACCAACTTCCGCCTCTGGAGTCATTTCCAGTCCCACATGACCGCTCCAGAGGAGCCGCCAACCAGAGAGTGCGCCGATCGACGTATGTCCTCTCCCTGCCCGTCTCCACCTCCATCCCTACCGGTAGCTGGAACTCCAGCTCCTCAAGCAGAGTCACCAAATCCAGCCTCACCTGGAGCAGAGCCAGCTACTTCAGCACACTCCGTCTCACAGATTCCTGAGCAAAATAAGAAAGATGGCAGCGCTCCCCCTACCAGAGACACCGCTGATAAGCCCCTAACTCCTCAGGAATCAGACACCCTATTCTACCACGCACCTACCCTCTCAGCCCTGACCTTTAAAAGGCAATACATGTGCAAGCTTTGTCACAGAACCTTCAAGACAGCTTTCAGCCTGTGGAGCCATGAGCAGAGCCACACTAATCCTTGACTGTTTACCAGGCTTATGAGATCTGACCGTAGGTAGGTTTCTGGATACATGCAGCAGCTTTGGCAGTCATATGATGAATTTGAAAGCTTTTAAGATGATTTAGTTCAAAATCCTGACACTTAAGTTCTGTTTAAGGTTGGAAAGGCTTTGTTTGACTTTTTGTTAGTATGTTCAAGCAAAGGTCCATGAGTTTAAATCTGGTTACTTTGTTTACAGCAATAAGAGTGTCCTAAATATCTTGATCTTGCATCATTTTCTCAAAATAATGGGAAATGCATCATCATTTTTTACTAGCCTCACAGTAGTGCTTTAAATTCAAAATGCTATCTGGAACTATTTGATCTTTAGTTGACGGTATGCTTTAGGGACAAAACATTGGTTGCTAAATTGATTTCTTTGACTTAAATCTGAAGGGGAAGCAAAGATTTTTAAACCAAATCATATAATAATCATTTATTGGATTATTTGAAGCTGCCTTTTGTTTTTATTGTCTTTTTTGCTAGTAAATTTGTGGTTGGCTTACCACAAAAGATTATCATCACCGTGCTTCAATACAGGTGTTTAAAGGTTAGCGTCTTCCGTGGCAGTTGAATGTAGTCTGGCGGTTGCGGTTTAATTTCTTAATTTTGCTTGCCTCCAAATCCCCCTCCCTGTGTGATAATTTGCCTTGAAAAGTCAGAAATCAAGCGCCTGAGTTACATGTAACTCTTCTTGTTATAACCTATTATTATTATCATTATTTAATTTCATACAAGAAAGTGCTTTAATCATTGCAACTTAATACTGATTAAGTGCTCTTGCAAATTAACAATTGTCTCGGGTCGTGTCAAGATTTTTACAAAATAGTTTTTGCTATTTCTGAATAGCAGTCTTAGCTCTGTGGAAGAATTGGCACTTTCTAGCAATCTGAAAAAGCCATTACATGTTCAGCCGTATCATGTTCAGTATTTATTGTATATTTTGTTTGCTGTCAGAAATCCCAGATACTTGTACAGAAGAAATTACTCTTTGTGGCAGTAATTATTTAGCTTTAGTTATTTTGAGGTTATTTCTATTATCATAGAACATTTGAAATTAGAATCGCCAAAAAAATTCTTATTGGAATGTTTTTTTTTCTGGAGGTTATACATCCCAAGAAGTAATTTCTTCAATTAACATGTCAGAATGTGTTTTTACTCCTGATTATTATTAGCATGATATATTTACATAAATGTACTCAAAATATGTAATTTGGCTAAAATGAGTTGTTGGCTTCAAAACAAAAGGAGGATGTTACTTAATTTCAAAATGGAAAAATTATACAGCTGATTGTGTATGTGCAAGGGAGTATGACATCAGCGTAAATTAACTCCCTCTACAACCTATGGGGTTACTTTGACACATTCCATTTCAATGAATAATTCACCCAAACCTGTTTTGCTTTGAGTCAGTTCTACTTCACTTATTTACCATAAAGTAATAAATAGTGCCTTAGATTTTAATTTGCGGACATTTTGTGGAGTGGGATATTATAGAAGACTGTTCCTCCTAAGCTTTTTCTATTCCATAACAATAACTAAAGGAATTTTATGATTATATATATTTTTTTTTGCAATTTGCACAAACTGAGAAACGCATAAGTATGTTTCTATATTGGCTGGCTCATTCACGTGCTACAGTTTGAATTGTTTTTAAATGCCTATTGCATTTAAATGGAATGTAATCATTGATTGTGTTCCTAAACAAAAATCTTAAAGCCATTTAGACAAGTAGCTGTAATTAATTCAGTATTGAGTTGGTGGGCTTACATTGAATTTTCATATTCTACATTTGGCTATACTGTACCTGAGCAGCAACTGACCTCAAAAACTGATAAAATTAGGATCACACACATGCCAATTTATGCCATATGCCGTGTTCTTTTGTAAACCATTCAGTCTGATTTGCTTTGTGTACTTTCCTAATGAGTGGTGTAGATCTCTTAGTACGTATATATATATTTGTGGGTCTGTTGCTTTAATTCTATTCATATTTACATTTATAAAGTCCTGTTCTACAGATTTTTTTAAAAATTGCATTTGTATGCAAGTGTTTATTATGAGGTCCTGAATCAAGTTATTCTAAAGATTGAGACTGATTAGAAGAAGCATGTATAACATATAGATTTGTAATATATTTGTTTTTACTTGGACTAATTTATACAGGTGTGGAGAGCTCATTTTCTCTCAAACGTAACAGGATGGTGTAAAATTGGTATGCCTTAGAGCGACAGTGCCCGGGCTTTTGGATGGAGAGTATTTGCCCAAGCAACCCATTGAAGAGCTTGAATCCAGAATGATTGCAAGTTAAACGTACATACAAAAACCAGTTAGTTATTTTTATTTATTTTTATCTTTTTTTGGAGCTGATGTGAAATATTGTTAATCAAATTTGTACCTCAGCATACTTCTGGTGCAAATTGTCATGTCAGGCATCAATGTTTGTATCCTGCACAATGAATTTTGCAAATGTCATGCCTTGGACACATATACAGGATGTACAGTTCAATTTGTACTTATTTCCTTGAATGTACCGACCTGTAATTTTTTTTCTGTGGATTTTGAAGTTGAACAGTGAGCTACAGGTTACCCCTGATGGTAGGCATAATTTACAATGTCTCAACCTAAGCGAATATGTCAGTTTTCAGAGATATTTGAAATATTTTGATGTTAATTTAATCAGTGTAAATGATCAATTACAGTTGTATTTGTAATAGGCTATTCTGGTGTATTTTGAGTCTACTCCGAAGGACACTGAATGGATAGGTGGATACTTTTTTTTAAGCAATGCATATGGCAGCATTTGTACAACCTTCAGTTTTCCAGGTGTGTTTTCTGTTCCTCTAAAATAACTATTTGGTTGTACTGTAGTATCACTGCAATAATTTTAATATTTGTAATACTACGAATTGTAATACCGTGGCTTCAGAATTGGCACCAGTTTTGTCTTAGTGCTTATTTTCTACTGTTTGTGTGCTTTGTTTCTTAGCTACTGAAATAAAGAGTGTCTGTTATGTACGTTTTTCCGTTTTGCTGTTTACTCATACTTTTTTAATTACACCCATTTGGATGTCCTTAAGAACACAGCCGACACCCTGGACTTGGTTTGGCATCCAGGAGGGGCCTGCAGTTGAACCCTTGAGCAAGGTACATGCTGCGAATTCCACCAGTAAAATATCCAGCTGACTACATGGGTAAAAAATGTGAGTTGTTTTGGATGACAGCAGCAGCTACTTAGCTAAACCTAAACAGAGTTTTCTGTCACTCTAGGATGTTCTTAAAATAGATGGCCTTTCAAATGGTTTATGAAAATTCCCAGAGAAAAATAGTCCAAATAATGAATTTTATCAACATGAATTTGTAGTGGGCAGTAGAAATTTGGGGGGGGGGGGCTCAGCGGGTCATGGTGTTGCACCTTTGAGTGGGAGGTTGCCGGTTCAAATAACATGGATGGAAAAGTGAATTCCCTTTTAGGCCTTTCAGCAAGGCCCTTAACCTCCAGGAACTGGCTGACCCTGCTTCCGAAGATGTATGTTTTGTTGGAAAAAGCGTATCCTAAATAAAATCTAAATTTTATCAATCTGGTCAATCTCAGAAAACAGATAGGGCAGGGTAAACTGGATGGGATTCCGGTCCATCACAGAGGACATACTCTTGGCAATTTATAGACCAATTTACCCGGTGCGTGTTTTCAAATTCTGGGAAGAATCTGATACAAAGATGGGGAAACATTAACATGGTACACAAACCCCTAGTCCCAGTGGCTACCGTGCAACTCACTGAGACACTAGTTTGATATTTTGTTCTGATTCAATGTTGTTTCAGCACTGTTCCATGTGTGATGCCAATTTCCATTGTTCAGTATTCTGTCTAAAGTGATAATCACATGGTCAGTCACATGATTCATACAAGCCAACAGTCTGCCAAATACTCACTTGCACATGAACTCCCTTAAAGGTACAAGGGCTACAGAACTTCCACAGCAGCCTTGAGCCAAAACCATCCTGATGAACAGCCACTTTATTTGGTAAATACATGAAAAGCCGGTGAGAATAGGGCGCCGCTTCTGAACAGATGGTCATTGCCATGGGTCATAGAGATGTTTTCCAGCCTGAACAAGAAGTGACTAATTTCTTGGCTAGGAATCAGGAAGTACATTTGGGGATGTTGTCTACTCTGATGAGGCATTGGGGAATTCAGAGGGACTGGAAATCACCAGTAGGATTAAGAGAGGACCATTTTCACAAAACTCATTCAACATTTTGCAAATAAATACAAGAATATACTTCACATCAAAAGTACATATCTGCTATTAGTAGCTGGATTTGTTAAAAGCAAATCACATTATTGTAATAACTGTTACAGGTGTAAATTGGCACAATAACCTAACATTTCTCTTTAAATTTAACAACTAAATAAAACTGCTTACCTTTAAATAATTATATTGGTGGATTATCGCTTTGTGTTAAGTTCCTGATTCTAGATCATAGTGTAATTAAGTTTCCCTTCACAGTCTGGAAACACCCCTTATGTGTGTGGGCCCTGCTATGCATCCTGGGTATCACCTGCCTCGTGCCCTGAGCTTCCCGGAATAGGCTCCAGGCTCACTATAACCTATTATTAGATAATGGAATAAATTATTTAAAAATGATCGGATGGAAGGAACTTAGCCATACAAACAATATTTAAATAAGACTTCAAAAAGCAATCAGTTTTATTTCTGAGGTTTCATTTTGAAGTTTGAATAAAGTTGCTTTTACAGTACATACATATAATTAGCTTAATAATAGCAATCTGAAGGTATTTTACAACAGTAACAAAATACTCAGAACATTAAAACAGTGTTTTTCCCATTTCCAGGATTATGTTCAGTTACACCCTTTCAAACAGACATTTTATTCAGCATGTAGAGCATGTCTGTTAAAACAAGGTCAAAATATGATGGATAAAATCCAGTATTCACTTCCACAAAATACAAAACAAAAGGAACTTAAAATGCTTGCATTTACAATAGTTTTTTTCAGTGAGGGTCTGTCACCTATATATAGGGCTTTACCTATGAAGGAATTTGGGATTCCCAAATCTTAATCACACTGTGACTTTCCTTCACTGCCTGTCTGATGATGAACCTACACACACAAGTAAATCAACGAGGATCAACATCCTCACAGTGCCAATGTGTCCTTAATTAGCCTGCGCACTGTAGTGCTCACAGACGTGCCAAGTGAATCTGTGATCTGATATGTGATTTTGTACAGGTATGGCTGGACGTCCTTCAGACTGGTGTCAAACACATTGTCCACCTCAGACTGCGTTGGCATCTTGGGCAAGTACTCATGTCGGTTGATCACCTCCACAATGTTGATAACCTTCTCACCCAGCTTCTCTCCCACTTTTTCTCTGCATATCTGTCTTTCCTGTTCATTGGCCAGGTTGACAACATTGACCTTGATGCTCCAAACCTCCCAGGGGATGCATTCGTCTGAAAAAGGCCAACGGGACTTCTTCTTCTGATAGAATTCCAGAGATATCTGACCCATGCCGTCACTGCCCGAGTTGCTCAGTGCTTCCTGGAAATTACAAATATTCAAGGGTAAATGACACATTTACGTTCAACAATAAAACTTTTATTTATTTCTAATGTCAAACGTCTATACATTGATTAACCGACTAAATCACTTGCACAAATACCAGATAAGTTTTAAAGTACCAGTAAATTACCTTAAATTCTCCAACAGCTTTCCTGATGGCCCTGTCGAGTTCTTCAGACGACACTCGTACGAAAGTGAAATCAATAAAGTCACAGTCTATGTCCTGCGTACCAACTGTGCCAATAGAGTAGGTGCCCTCCTTCTTGTAGTGAAATTTGCCTGTGCTTCGGTGCAGCAAAATAGTGTGCAACAAGGCCAGTATGGCCTCGTCAACCTGCCTTCCCTCTACTGACACCTCCAGGACTTCCGAGCGGCAGTTCATGGTGTTTTGCTTCCTCGCAGCTGCAAAAGGAAGTTACAATGGAAAATGTCCTTTCCACTTCGGTATCCGGCCCTTTTCAGCTAGCGACCTAAATGTTTACGCGCGATGGTCAGAACTAGGTCGCCAAACGCAAAAATAAAAACCTATAGACTGTGTCAGTTTTCAAACAAGATATATTTAACGCTGTATTTATGTCCCAATTGTCATATATTCTTTGGAGGCCTATAGCTTTCCCCCCACGAATACCATACGCATAATATACTACCATACAATATCCACTTTATCTTTCCTATATCAGCAATAAAATGTCGCTAACAACCGGATGGGCGGAGCTAAGTCGGTAAACACTGGCGTCAGTACGGCAAGCAGAAAGGGTCAATTTGAGCTTTTAGGCAACACTCGTGAGTCGCTCGTTATGTCACCTGTGACTGTGAAATGAAAAAGCTGCAATTAACGTAATTAAACATATTTTGACTACTCCAAAATCAAGGATGATCATAATAATAATAAAATAAATGTTGCATGGCCGCCCAGCACGCTATTCCTTTAAGGTGCAGCATTGCATTCTGGGAATGACAGTCTCTGCCCGTCACGCGCAGCCACATAGATCGCTTTTTCTGTTCCGTGGTCGAGTGTCAGCTGGATTGCGGAGTTGGTGGTTGCTACTGGCGTGTGGCGGATAATTTTTCCAGTCACGATTGCCCCTCTAAGATGCTAAACCCTCCATTCTTTGAACTTTTAAAATATTTATAATATTTTAAGTGCACTGGCGTCTGCGCGTGCACGCGTCATCCGAGGAAGCTCTCCACTCGGAGTACGATACAAGCCTGTGGCGAGTGGATTAATTTTGCCCACCGAGACTGACGTTAGCCAGTTTTGTTTGCCGGACACTGCCGGGTTAGCCAGCTTTCCGTGGGCTCAGCTGCTCCCTCCGGGATGCAGCGTGGGCTTTGTGGCGGACCTCGCTGATAGCAGGAGGCCGGCTTTTTGCGAACTGTGTTGGCCGGCTGTTTATTGAGCCCTGCCGAAAGGGGATTTTCGGGGATTTTAGCGCTCTGAGGAGACAGCGACATTTGTATTTTTTTAATCATATGCGAACTTTCCCCAGTTCTTTGTAGCACCACCGAGGATATTCAATAACGTTGGGATCCGGCCTTGCAGACGAGAAAGTGTCGATATACGGTCCTAAAGTAACGCAGGCAAATGCGCTGCCCTAGCTGGTTAGGTGATGGTCACCTATTGCAGCTAGCGGGTGGGTTTTCCGACGGGTTTGGGTTTATTTTACTTAATGATGAAGCAGGATCAATAGAGCAAATGAAGCATTACTGATCTGACGAGCGGAGGTCGATGCAACTTTTCGCCAAAGTTATTTACTAGTTGCCTCAGCGTTCGCTTCGCCATGAGTTTTCTGGACGACGTCTGGGGGTACTTTCCCCTGGAGGATGTGCAGTGGCTATTCCTGATCACGCTGTTCATCACGTCGGTTGTCACCGTTCTTGTGTACCTGGTGCAGTACTTTTACGGGGATCCGGGGCTAAGGAGGTCCGGGGTAGCGGCGGCGGACTCTGGCGAAGCTGGTGCACTGCTGAACTGGGCGCTGTCATTGAAAAGCTGGAGGTGTCAGTGGAGGAGAGCCTGGGTGAAAGCCCTTAACGACGAGGCCAAGAAATCCGGGGTAATTCGCTGTTGAAATCGAGTTATTTATTTAAACGTCGTGTCCTCAGAGTGCACTCTTACCGTATTATTGGGTCTGGTTAACCACATGCCCAGCATTTTTGTAAGTAAATCTGTAGTCTACTTTAAATGTACGATTTTTTGATTTCTTAGTTGTGCAGCATATAAATGAGAAGCTGTCTGAAAAAGACTGCAGTTCGTTAAATCAACTCCAGAGCATGCTAACGTAAGGTGCCCTGCAGGTCTGCATCATATTTAATGTTGACAGGCGTAAGTTTGTGGTAGGAATATTTGAAATATATGCATTATTTTCTTACTTCCTATAATGAAAATAAGGTGTCTGTGATGAACCCTAACCCTAGATAGGCAGCATCTTTATATAACTCTGGGTCATGCCCCTGTCACAGGTGGCTTCCATTTAGTCGTTTGTTCACCTCATTAATTATTACATTTTGATCTCTTTGTAATAGAGCCCCATGCTTCTCAGTTTTGAAGAGGATGGTCAGCAGTCTTCAGAGCTTGAGGTCACCCATGTATCCAGCTTCAGGACGTCTGAGGAGTGTAAGGTAAGCCTCTGCAGCATTTCGAATGGGCCAGGGAAAAAAATAGTGTTTTTTTTTTTTTATTATTATGATGCCAGATGAGTTGCTTGAACGCTGTCAGACTGAAGATCATTTAGAATTGATGCCAATGTTGCCAATTGATTATTGTGCCCCCTTGTCACTGAAAAACAGCCTTTAATATAGAAGAATTTAGCATGTCTCAGAAAAGGCATGTGTTTATGAAATTGTGTGAAGGCCAAGAGCTCGTTCAGGCATATGAAAATGCATGTGACTTATCTCATGTGCATCACAAGGCATACGAACTTTGGCCTTCGGCCACCTGCGTTCAGATTTTTATGTAAGATCTTACTCTGTTCCTGTGGCACCCGTGTTTCTTTGCCTAACTGGCATGCTTCTGATTTTGAGCAGAAGCCAGCTGATTGGGGGCAGGACAAATTTTTTTTATAGCTCCTCCACTGGCTGACTGTTGAGATTTTCCAGCAGAGTGCTCCTGTAGGACTTGTTTTTTTTTTTTTTTGATGGGTTTTGAGTGGGAGGAGATCGATCTGTTATGGGTGCAATTTTTGGCCATCTGCGGGAGCTGCTACCTTAATCTGTTTTTTCCCTTTATGGGCAGATTGGGTTCACACTGTTTCTGAATGTAAGTGCTCAGTTAGAGGTTATTCCTGCCCGGCTTGTGAGCTGAATTATCCTGTAAGGAGATTACACATCAGCTCTGGGATCCGGCATGCATCAGCAAACATAGGCTAAAGTACTGATGACAGGGGCGTGTTGCAAATGACCACCCGTCTTCAGATGAATAATCCCCTGCACTCTGCTGTCAGCCTGGTTGTTCGGGTGCCACAGGCTGCGAGGTCTCAAGCTCGAAGGCCATAAATTGAGCTGAGGACCGTCCCGTGACTTTGCTTTTCGGGGTACTGCTTAAAGCCCCTACCTGACATAGTGCTTGTCTCTCCCTTATGCAGAGTGTACGCTGCCAGGTGACGGGCAGTAAGCTGGAGTTCTCACTCTCTGTGTTGTCACAGATTGCAGCCGCAGCCCCCTTGCGGTACGCCGTTACAGTCTCTCCCCTCCAGCTGCAGGTAACTTTCCCTTTGTCGTCCTCGCTCTCTCCACACACCTGACTTAGGGTGCCTTGATTGGTCTTGATGTCACTTCCTCTTCCCCCTATCTTCTTTTCTCATTGGCCCTCAAACTTTACTCCCCGGTAAGGAGCAAGTTCTGATATTGTCCTGGTTTCTCCAAACCATAAAACATTGTATCTGTACTTTGACTGATCCAAGGCAGCCCTTCTCAGACGTCAAAATTGTTGCATTGAGTGCTGACTCAGTTTAAAGCCCAGAAGCCATTTGGGGCACTAACATTTGTGGTGGGACAGTTGTTCCACAGACCTGAAAGAACCACCTTTTTTCTTTCTTTTTTTATTGCCATGTAATTGTGAAGTTAAAGTCATGATGTAGTTATAAGTTATATGTTATATATAATAAGTTATAAGGCAACATGGAGGCGGGGCTCAAACTTAATAGTACTTGATTTAGTGATTTAGTAGAGTAGTTCAGAGTCTTTTTCATCATGAGTCCACTGCTGTTCTGAGAAACGGATAAAACGTAGAGTTTGTGAGCGCTGCTGTGATGGACTGTGTTTTATTTACATCCCTTAACTGCATCATGCTTAAGTGAAGTACTCCAGGAAGTCATCCCGGTCCGGGGGGAGCTACTCTTGTGTGGGAACTGTGTACTCCTGACAGAATTAGAAATGTTCCCTCTCTAATCTTTTGTTGATCTGTAAGTAAAGTCAATGACTCCACAGTCAATTAAGGAATTTAAATGTCAAGAAAATGAGCAAATACGATGGTCTTCCTTTAGCCTGTGTTTCTCTGACTGGCTGGATTGCTACACTGCCTAAGTCCAGTTGGTTCTCTGTATGGTTGGTTCTCCCTAGGGATGGCATGTAGGGGGGGGGGTTGTTGTACTATGGTCGAGGATCATACCCACAGACGGGAAGGAGCCAAAACACACTGTCCCTCAGCTCTGTCCACTGACCGACAAAGTGGACAGCGTTGCCAAGCGGTTTCCTCTTTGTATATTTAAAGCAGCCAGGTGTGTGAAAATGGCAGAGCTGAACCGTTACCACGGGCTGGCTTAATCGAATTAAGGATATTTTTAACTGCATAAGGTGCTTCATGCTTAACTGTGAAGATGATCTGCTTTTCCTGTGAAAGCAGTCACTCGAGGACACATCATAATTTTGTACTTTGTTTGCGTTGAGCCCTCCCCCTCCCACCCCCTTTTGTGCCCTCTTCCATATGGAAAATGTATTGTGGGGCATTTTTGTGGGCCAGGCACTGGAAAAGGCACTGGTAAAAGTGTGTGTGTGTGTGTGCGTGCGAGCGGGTTTACCTATCCTTATGGGGACATAATGTGCAAATTGATGATAAATATCTGTTTTTTTCCCTTATGGGGACCGGTTTCCTGGTCCCAATAAGGGAAAACTCTAAAAATCAGTGACTGCTATGAAAAAACTAAAAATGCAAAAACTCTTGTATTTTGTTAGGTTGCTTATGGTTATGGTTAGGGCAGGGTAGGGGTTAAGGTTGTCATAGTTAGCGTT